TTACTTTATTGAGCTGTTTCTTCTGTACGACCTCTTTACAGTACAACTTACAGCTAGATTTGACACATTGCCAGCAAGCTGGTAAAAAAATGTAGCATATTACATTAACTAAAAGCTGGGAGAAAAACCTATATTTCAATAGGTTTTTCTCCTAATCAATACATTTACTACCAAGATATAATTGTATGCTAAATCTAATGTGCATAAATTGTTTGGGGCATGACAGGTCCCCTCAAATATAAGAAAGCTCTATGGAGCAGAATGAGGTGTAAAATGCCAGATGTGTACAGTAGATGGCAGTAGTGTGTCTTTGGTGATATCAACAGAGTGTTTCCTTAAAAGGACATTCAATGTCAGCTCATTGTGTTTGCAAATGGGATGAAGTGTTTAAACCTCCATGTTTTGTCTCATTTTTCCTGTATTAAAAAAATATCTGAAGCAGCTTATAAAGGACAAACCATAACCTTGTAAATGCTTCAATGTTGATGTTGGTAGGCTTGGCCTGAGCTATTCATAGCCATGGCTACATCAGCCCACACAAATTAGCTGAGGACACCTGTTTAGTCAAGACCACAATATGAGGGGCTTACTTTCCTTGGTAATAGGAGAAAACTAATATCATTATTTTGGAACTAATAGGATTTATCTCACATATTAAATTTGCATTATGTTGCCTGAAAGAAGAATTATTGGCTACAAAGAACGTGTGGGAGCTATATTTTAAAGCTATGATCACTGTGCACTTCTATTCTGAATTAAATTATACACTCATTAACTATGTCAAACATGCACATAACGTATAATGTATAGGGTGGAGGATTTAACTTCCACAGAATATGACAAGGCTGCACTCAGGATACAAGCACACAAAGTACTTCACACGACTAAGTTTATTACGTGTAGCAGGGGAAAGCTCCAGATTGTAGACTTCTAAAAAGATCTTTCATGGTACACTCACTGCAACCACATTTTAGTGGGTTGCCACTTACCCTATACTAATGGGGGGAAATTGGTTGAATGACTTTTTCCACCAACTTGATTTCAACGTTCAAGATATTTTACAGCAAAGACATAAATAACACTGGCTACTTATATCAATTTGAATGTCTTTGACGATTTCTCTTAACAGACTCCAAGGAGTATATATCCCCATCAGAGAGAAAGTATCCATTAAATGCCTGGCACCATCCACAAAGCGTGACATTACAGTCCTCTATAAATTCTTAAAATCTTTCTTACATATAGAACTGTCTATACTGGAGAAAACTGGAGGCCTAATGCAACCAGTCTGGGCCCATAAGATCTCTCATGGTTATTCCCATCCTCCTAAGTGCCAGTTTCAAAATGCTTGCACCTATAGGTTACAAACCACAACTGAACTCCAGCTGGATTAGACCCCAAATCCATGCTTTCCTACAGTAGCAGACTGCTGGAAGCCTTCTTCACCAGACTGATGCCCATCAATGGTTCCTGATTTACACCTACAGGGAATGCAGGGCAGTTTCTGATCTTGTGGATGCTCCATGAGCATGTTCTAAATGATCTGTACAACAAAAAAGAAAACCAATTTATGCATTGCTGTCATGCTTCTGAGCAAGTCAGACAGGAGACTTATGTCGGGGTTTACTTCAGGTAGTTTATTTGTTTTTGTAGGCATGGTTCAGACAAAGGAAACAAGATAAATAACAAGATAAACAGAGAAAAGGAATAATAAAAATAAAGGAGGAAATAGAATTATAGGTGAGTAAGTAGAAGGTGAAATAATATAGGTTTAGGCAAAATGCCCCAAAACAGGAATACAGGAAAAAGTTAAGCAACTAGTAAAAATTAAACTGGAATATAAAGGTATAAATTATAACAGGATGAAGCAAAGCAATGGAGGTGATCAGCCTCTTTGGATTATAAACAGAATTGTAGATTCAGGGTGTTTGTAGATACAAATAATAATGTCCATAATATCCAGGCAGGTTGGGAGGAAAAACAATATGAAACCAAAGTCCAGTTTAGAAATAAAGCAGGGTTAAATCGGATGAATCAAGACGGTTGCAGGTAAGTAAGGTTGGAGCAGGTTGTCAGGATTCAGTTGAGTTAGGCACAGGTCTTTATCAGATTATAACAAATCTCAGTAAGAGCCAGGAGCAGAGCACAACTTCTCTCTCTCAATGTAAAGGCCTTGTTGTGAGCCACGTGTAGCCTTATGAAGCCTCTTCATTAGTCCAGGCAAGTGAGGATGATTAGGTGACTGAGGAGACTAGTGGCTAGGGAGGCCACTAGAGGCGAGAAACAAGTATTACATTTACTAATAACAGAATAATAGCTTGGTTGTCAGGATAGGATCATGACAATTGCACTCTTAAAGGACCACTCTAGGCACCCAGACCACTTCAGCTTAATGAAGTGGTCTGGGTGCCAGGTCCAGCTAGGATTAACCCTTTTTTTTATAAACATAGCAGTTTCAGAGAAACTGCTATGTTTATAAATGGGTTAATCCAGCCCTCAAATCCTCTAGTGGCTAGCTCATTGACAGCTGCTAGAGGCGCTTGCGTGATTCCCACTGTGAAAATCACAGTGAGAACACGCAAGCGTCCATAGGAAAGCATTGTAGATGCTTTCCTATGAGACCGGCTGAATGCGCGCGCAGCTCTTGCTGCGCGTGCGCATTCAGCCGAAAGGGAGGAGAGGAGGAGGATCGGAGGAGGAGAGCTCCCTGCCCGGCGCTGGAGAAAGGTAAGTTTTAACCCCTTTCCTCTCCCCAGAGCCGGGCGGGAGGGGGACCCTGAGGGTGGGGGCACCCTCAGGGCACTATAGTGCCAGGAAAACGAGTATGTTTTCCTGGCACTATAGTGGTCCTTTAAGTGGCCATTACCTTTGAAGGCCAGATCCTGATAGTGACTTTTAAACATTGATAGTACAAGATACGTATCTTCCTCAGAATCATCCAATGACTTTTTTCAATCTCTTTGACTGCAAACACATGTTGACATCATAGCCTCAGAAGGGGCACTGTTCCACCTATTGATTAATGCGCTCTACTACCGCATTATAAAGCAGTATTTAATGCCTCGTCCGTCATCTTTTACCACCTTACCATGTGGCGTATTGGAATGGAATGGAATGACAGAATAAACAGTGGTATAGGGATTATAGAATCCAATGTGGAAAATATGACAGATGGTGAATGACTGGGGGATACAGACTGTTGTGGACCTAGTGGAGTTTGACCTTTGCTATCGAGTAGGGGCTTGGGGCTCTTTGTGAGGCTGCTTGTGCACAGATATCAGAAATTACTGTCTTGTTGTCATGACTGAATTCCCACTGCCATGAGAATTCTCATATTTACTAAAGCCAGTTACAGTCAGAATTCAGTTGGCCAAGTGAACCTGCAGCAGTTTCCCAGGTGCATTCAGTGATAAGATTCACAAAGCAGCACTATTAATGGGTGGAAGTGATCTGTAAACCTTTATTATTTATTCTAAAGTCCCCCAACTCACCTCGAGTGGGGATATGGGGGAGGACTATGCTATGCCCCCCCCCTCTCTATTCACCAGGGATGGGGGTCTTTCTACCAACTGGTCAGCATATTTAGCAGATATGCCCTCACCTGCTGCATTAAGGAGTTATAGGGAGGTTCTCCTTATAGTCATTTTGTTTTTAACTTTTTTTTATGTGGTGGCTGGTTAGCAAAAGCTAGCTACCTGTCACATCATTAACCTGCAAAGGGTTATTTAACTATTTGCTCACTGACAGCGCTAGCAGAAAGCTCAGATTTGTTAAAATTCAGGACCAGGTTTGAAGCATTTGGGTCCGTATCTCAGCTGTCCATTCGGACCCTGAATTGCAAAATTGTTGAATAGCGTTAACAAGGCCTGAATTTTGTAGTCCACATAGCCCCATATGCAGCCACATGGTTTTGCCTCCTTCAGTATGGGGCCATTCAGACCTTAGTAAATAACACTGTGTATCTACACATTTGATGGTGAGATTATTAGCACATATTATAGGATAGCTTACCTAAAGAGAAACTTGTCATCTATACATGTTAATTACAGGTCCAGTATAACGGGCTATAGTTGTTATGGTCACTGGCGGAACTACCACGGTCGCAGGGGTTGCAATTGAGACTGGGCCCATCACTCCGACCACGGTGTCCTCCGAGATTGTGGGACAGCCCCAGCCAGGGCCGCATTTAAGGGGCCCATCGGAGTATTATTATTATTATGATATTTATAGAGCGCTTTACAATGGGTGGGCAAACAGACATGTAGTTGTAACCAGACAAGTTGGACACACAGGAACAGAGGGGTTGAGGGCCCTGCTCAATGAGCTTACATGCTAGAGGGAGTGGGGTAAAATGACACAAAAAGGTAAGGATAGTATTAGACTAGTGACAGTTGCAGAAGAGGAATCAGTCAGGAGCTATTAACAGTTTAATTGATACGCTTTTATGAAGAAGTGGGTTTTTAACGATTTTTTGAAGGAGTGGAGACTGGGTGAGCATCTAACGGAGGAGGGAAGCGAGTTCCACAGGAACGGTGCAGCCCTCGAGAAATCTTGAAGGCGAGCATCAGAGGTGGGAGTACGGACAGAAGATAGACGTAAGTCTTCAGCAGATCGTAAGGGCCTAGACGGGACATACTTGTGTATAAGGGAGGATAGATAGGTGGGAGCAGCATTATGTAGAGATTTGAAAGCAAGAACCAGAATTTTAAATTGAGCTCTATATTTTATAGGAAGCCAATGTAGGGATTGACAGAAGGATGAGGCATGGGAGGTGCAGGGGCGGACAGGAAGATAAGCCTCGCCACCGCATTCATTGTGGACTGTAACGGCGCTAGTTGGGAGCACGTAAGACCACTGAGAAGTGGACTAAAGTAGTCAAGGCGAGAAAGGACAGTGGAATGGACCAATACCTTAGTCGCATCTGGCGTTTAGTAGGGGCGGATGCGCCCAATGTTTTTGAGATGGAAATGACAGGATTTGGCGATAGATTGAACATGAGGCTTGAAGGAGAGGTCGGAGTCAAAGAGAACACCTAGGCAGCGAGCCTGCGTGGTGGAGCTGATGGTAGCACCGTTGACTTGGAGGGAGACAGACACAGGAGTAACAACACTTGAGGGAGGAAAGACCAGAATTTCAGTTTTGGTCAAATTTAGTTTAAGGAAGTGGGCAGCCATCCAGTTAGAAACAGCAGAGAGGCAGTCAGAGACACTAGTCAAGAGGGACAGGGAGAGATCAGGAGAGGACAGGTAGATTTGCGTGTCATCTGCATAGAAATGATATTGGAAGCCAAAGGAGCTAATGAGTTTACCAAGGGAGGTAGTATAGATGGAGAACAGTAGGGGACCAAGGACTGAATCTTGGGGGACACCAACAGAGAGGAGTTGGGGAGAAGAAGCAGAGCCAGAAAAAGAAACACTGAAAGAGTGCTGGTAGAGGTAGGAGGAGCACCAGGAGAGAGCAGTATCTTGCGGAGGATGAGAAGAAGCTGTTGATGATCAACAGTGTCAAAAGCAGCAGACAGGTCAAGGAGAATTAGGATAGAGTAGTGACCACAAGATTTTGCAGCGAGTAGATCATTGGATACTTTGGTCAGTGCTGTTTCCACAGAGTGCTTAGCGCGGAAACCAGACTGAAGCGGGTCTAGCAGAGAGTTGGACTCGAGGAAGTCTGTCAATCTCGCATACACAATTTTTTCAAGGATCTTGGATGCAAAAGGCAGTAGCGAGATAGGACCAGGGCCAGATTAAGAGCCCAGTGGGCCTGGTGCTGACAATTATGACGGGCCTAATTACAAAATCATATCGACCAAAAACAGTAAAACACTCCCAAGCGTCATGTATCTGATGGAGATGGTGCTGGAGAGAAATAAAACAGCAGCTATAAGAAAACACATACCCTAGGCTAATCTCTCACTAATTTATGTTTTCATCTTTTAAGTAAATCCATAACCCCTAACAGCAGTGTCCAGTCAAGCAGGAAGTCAATGGGCGGGGTAAAAGGGTGTGCCACTGACACAAATCACGTAACCTGCCAAAAGGGGCGAACATGCCCAAAAAGAGGATATGTCTGCCCAAAGAATTAGAAGGCCAGCCTGGTATGAATGCATGTCAGACTGCCTGCCAATCATGCAGCTGGCCAACTAAGGGCATACTATGCAGACAGCACCCTGAGCTTGGCATAAATGCATCTAATGATGCGCTCACTCAACACTTTCTAAGGACTGTCCCCTAGCACTCGCTGGTCCACTTGTCTCCTTACCTTCTTACTAGCAGGCAGAAGCTCCTGGTATATAGTCTGGGACAGAGAAAAGCTGTATGTAGTGAGTGTAGAAGAAAGGGAACATGCCACAGTGTTAGAGAGACCAAAGTCAGCATTACCTTAAAGGATCACTATAGGGTCAGGAACACAAACATGAATTCATGACCCTATAGTGTTAACACCACCATCTAGCCCCCCTGGGCCCCCCATGCCTCCATAAATATAGCAAAATCTTACTGTATTCAAGCCTGACTCATGCTGTTAGACTCAGAAAAACAAGCCGTCTGCTGACATCATTAGAAGTGATGGCCTAATCCAATCACAGTGCTTCCCCATAGGATTGGCTGAGACTGACAAAGAGGCAGATCAGGGGCAGAGCCAGCATGATTCAAATACAGCCCTGGCCAATCAGCATCTCCTCATAGAGATGAATTGAATCAATGAATCTCTATGAGGAAAGTTCAGTGTCTGCATGCAGAGGGTGGAGATACTGAATGTTTGGATGCATTTTAGGCAGCCATGACCCAGGAAGGATCTCCAACAGCTATCTGAGGAGTGGCCTGTGAAGTTATCACTAGGCTGTAATGTAAACACTGCATTTTCTCTGAAAAGACAGTGTTTACAGCAAAAAGCCTGACGGTAATGATTCTATTCACCAGAACAAATTCAATAAGCTGTAGTTCTTCTGGTGACTCTAGTGTCCCTTTAACTATATTCATTGTCAGCCAGTCCACCCAAGTTTTGTTCCCATACATCCCTCTTAAGTTTCCATACTTAAGTAAGAGTATGTGAAAAGTAAGAACCAGAAGGGTTGCCACCTTTCTTGGAAAAACATACTGGCCTTGCTAATTTGCATAATTAAATATGTATGGGTGACATCACATGATGTAAATCACAAGGAGTGACATAAGAGAAAATGTTGTAAAATCACCAAAAAACTACTTAGTTTGATTCTGCTATATAGATGGATTCCTCCCAGTGGCCCCATGTCTCCCAGTGCCCCCATGTGTTGATTACTCCAGGTCTCAGTGTTCCTATGTATCAGTGTCTCCCTGTGTCCCCATGTCTCCCAGGGTCCCCATGTCACTAGGAAGACGGGAAGACCTGGGGACACAGAGAGACCTAGGGACACGGAGACACCAGTGACACTGTGAGACTAGGGAACTCTGGCTGGGATGCATGGGGACACTGTGAAAATAGGGGACACTTGAAGACATGGGGACATAGACACCAGGGACACAGACACTAGAGACACTGACTGGGGGACATGGGGACATTGAGACATGGGGGCACTGGGAGACATGGGGACAAGGAGACACCAGGGCCACAGACACTAGGGACACTAGCTTGGAGACATGGGGACATTGAGACACTTGAGGCACTGGGAGACATGGAGGCACTAGGAGACATGGGGACAGTGAGACACTGGCAGACTGGGGGCACTGGGAGACATGGGGACACTGTGTCCCCATGTGTCTGTGTCATAATGTCTCCCAATGTCCCTTAGTGTCTCAGTGTCCCCATGTCTCCTTGCAGCCTTTCCCCCCATCCCTCACTTCCCTGAGCTGTAGGCTGTCTCTGCAGGGAGGGAGTTGCTGTCTGGACTCTCTGTAGCTGCACCCCTGTAGATCAGTGAGTATAGATAGGCAGGGAGGGATATGCTGGAACTTCCTATCCCTGCCTCTCTCCATACACAGTGACCCCTACTGGCCAGTGCTGGTATTGCAGAGTAATCTCTTGTTTATACTGAGAAAAATACCAGCATTTGTATTGCCAGTATCACTGCAATATTGGCACCAGCCAGGCAGCCTCAAATACTGGCTGTGCCAATAAAATAAAAGCCAGGTGGAATCCCTAAGAGTAGTGTGTGAAAAAAAAAATGTAAGAAAAAAATATATATATATTTTTTTTTTTTTATAAATCAATGGGCCTATTCCATGGGCCTGGGCCTGGAGCTGCAGCTCCATCATCCCCTATGTTAATCCGGCCCTGGATAGGACGATAGTTGGATGGGGAGTTAGGGTCAAGATTTGGCTTCTTTGGAATTGGGGTTACAGTTGCATGTTTGAAGGGCAATGGAAATATACCAGAGGAGAGAGAGAGATTGAGAATTTTAGTGAGAGGTGAAGAAAGAGATGAAGACAGAGTACGGATGAGATGCGAGGGAATTGGATCTAGGGAGCAGGTGGTGGGGCGGGAGGACTGGAGCAGAGCAGAAACCTCTTCCAATGTAGTGGGTGCGAATGAACATAGAACAACAGAGGGGGTGAAGTTAGGGGAAGTATTGTAAGGGGAAGAAGAAAGATGAGATATCTCTTCTCTGATTGTAGAGATCTTGTCAGTGAAGTGAGTTGCAAAGTCTGAGGCGGTCAAGTTAGTAGGTGGAGGAGGAACAGCAGGGCGAAGAAGAGAGTTAAATGTGTGAAATAGTCATTTGGGTTCACGGGAGAGTGTGGTTATGAGTGTATTGAAGTAATTAACTTTTGCAGAGGAAAGAGCCAAGCTGTATGAGCTCAGCATAAATTTATAGTGGAGAAAGTCAGATGCACAGTGAGACTTTCTCCAACAGCGTTCAGCAGTTCTGGAGCGTTTTTGGAGGTATCGAGTGAGCTTGGTGTGCCAGGGTTTTTGTTGGGGGGGGCCTGCGGCATTTAAATGTGCAAGGTGCCATGATGTCTAGTTGAGAGGAGAGGGTGGAATTGTAGAAGGAGAACTAGGACAGGTGAGGTTTGAGATAGGTAAAAGGAGAGTTTGGAGATTAGTAGAGAAATGCTCTAGGTCAAGACATTGGAGGTTTCTGTGAGAGTGATGTTCAGACGGTGGTGTCAATTGGGTCTTGGGTATGCCAATGTCAAAAGTCAGCAGATGGTGGTCAGATAGAGGAAAGGGAATATTGGAGAGATTAGAGGCAGTACAGAGGTTGGTGAAGGCAAGATCAAGAGTGTTTCCTGCTGTATGGGTTGCTAGATTGGACCATTGCATAAGGCCAAAGGAGGAGGTTACAGAGAGCAGACGAGAGGCATCAGTGCAATTGGGGTTATCGATTGGGATATTGAAATCCCCAAGTATAAGGGAAGGAGTGCTAGATGAGAGGAAGTGGGGAAGCCAGGAAGAAAAGTGCTCAATGAATAGTCTAGGATAACCGGGGGGCGGTAGATGATAGCAATTCTTAAAGGAGTGGGTTTAAATATGCGGACAGTGTGAACTTCAAAAGAAGAATAGGATAGGGCAGGGGGAGTTATGATTGGTTGAAAGGTACATTGAGGGGAGAGAAGGATGCCTACGCCGCCTCCTTTACAGTTGAGTCTGGGAGTGTGAGAGATGGCACATACTCTCGGGGCCACCCGATTGCAATGATTTACCCGGGCCTGGTCAGCGATGGGGAGCTTTAAGAGCGCGACCAAGCCCCAATGATGACGACAGAGCGCCGTCACTTCCTCCCAACTAAGAGAGCCGCGCAGGTGGAGAGCGCCGGGGAGGAGAGGAGGGAGTCAGAGTGGAAGCTTACATAGTGTGCCCCTATGTAACTGTATGTGTGTCATTCTGTGTATGTGTATCTGCATGTGTCTGTATGTGTGTCTGTGTATCTGTATGTATGTCAGTTTTTGTATCTGTAGAAGTTTAATTCTGTGTATCTGAATGTGTGTCATTTTGTGTGGCTGTGTATTAGCATGTGTGTCCATGTATTTATCTGTATGTGTTATATTATACAAATGGAGGGAAATTTTTGCACCGGGGCCCTGTAGTTTCTAGTTACGCCTCTGGTTATGGTGTTAAGAGTTTCATTTTATTAAAACCTTTATTCTTACATGCTATAACACTAAAGTACAGAGCACTGCTAAAAAGACAGACAGGATTATTTACTTCTTCAAGTGAGAATTCAAAGTAAATTTCAAATTTCAGTCCAAAATATCCAAATTGGAAAAAGGTATGTGTGGTTACCTTGTCCTAAAATGTGAAATTTACTTTAAATTTACTTAGAATTTTCACTTTAGGGAATAACCCTGAGAGTTAACGAATGGCTTAATTTTTTAAAGGCCAGGGATTATGTACTTCTATTTATGTCATACCATGCATAGTATGCCATTAGTCCTTAAGTGGTTAAAGAAACACAGTGTGATATCATCAGAACATGATTCCATGGCTA